CACCCCACAGCCTTAATCAAATGCTCACTCTTTTCAAAGACTTAGGAGTCCCTGTAGACAAGACAAAACTGAAGGTCCCAACACGGTGATCACATTCCTGGGTATTACACTCAATTCCGTATCTATGCAAGCCAGCCTACCTCAAGAGAAAGTAGACCGGATACTTTCTTACATAAACACTTGCACGTCACAAGGCACTTGCACAAGGAAACAGCTACAGTCACTACTCGGTTCACTAAATTTTGCTATGAGAATAATTTCTCAGGGTAGGTCTTTCACTTCCAGAATCCTCTCACTATTGCACGGCCTCCCCGACGACGACTCCACAACTTCCCTAAACGAATCAGCTAGAGCTGATCTACAAATGTGGCAGCTGTTCCTATCATCTTGGAATGGCAGGTCGCTATTTGTGCCACCCATATCAGACAATTCCCCTGTAATTTGGACCGATGCTTCAGGTACATTAGGGTATGCAACCATTTTCAGTGATGAGTGGCTATATGACTCTTGGCCAGTTGAGACCACCTCACTCGAAAATTTCAATACCACCTCAGCTCTATTCGAAATTTATCCTATAGCAGCAGCTGCACACATCTTGGGTAAAGAATGGAGTGGACAGTCAGTCAGATGCTTTTCAGATAACATAGCTACCTGTGATATAGTTAACAAAGGCCGCTCTCAGTCCCTAACGTTTATGAAATTAATAAGGAGAATGACTTGGCTAGCGGCTAATCTGCAATTCTGCATAACACGTTTTCACATTCCGGGTGTTCGAAATAACGCCGCTGATGCTCTCTCACGCTTAAATTTGCAGGAATTTTTCAGGTATCACCCATCAGCAAAACCGCAACCCAGGGAATCTCCAAGCTTCACAGAACTAATTATGCTTTAAGTTCTCTATTAAAACATAGTAGATCTCTCGCACAAGCAGGCTTGTCCACTAATACAAGGAAAGCCTACGCTAGAGCATACAAGTTGTATAAAAATTTTGTCCATGATTATCACATAATAAATGTTTTTTCTGTTGAAACTGTTGTTGCATTCACAACTTTTTTGCCATATTTCTCTTAATTTAGCCTACAACACTATCAAACTCTACTTAACGGGCATACAACACTACATGTTGACCAGCCATCCCAACAAAACTCCATTCCTAACGTCCTACCCAGTAAAAAGTGTCCTAAGAGGTGTTCACAGATTATCAGCACACAATCCCATCAAGAGACTTCCCATAGACAGTAAAATCTTTAAAAGTATCTCCGATATCCTCGAAACGTCCTCCTTTGAACACACCACAAACCTAATTATAAAGTCTGCAGCTTACTTAGCTTTCTTTGATTTTTTAAGACCCAAATAATTTTCAGTGGAGAAAGCAACCGATTCTAAGCTTTGCCTCCAAATGAAACAACTAAACAACAGACAAGACCACTACATCTTATCTATTACCCATACCAAAACAAGCCAAACAGGTCCTCCAGTAGAAACTAAATACTATCCTACCTCTACCAAATGGTGTCCTATCCTAGTTTTAGATAAACTAGTGGTGTCCCAAATCACTTCCAACCCAGATTCTCCACTGTTAGCTATTCAAGGGAAACCCCTAACCACTAAACAATTTATGTATTACATTCGTACATTATTGCTCCGGGTAGGACATAACCCACATGCATTCACAAGTCATTCCTTTTGCATTGGTGCAGCTTCAGCTGCCTCAGGGGAACCACGTACCAACCCACATCATCAAAAACATGGGAAGATGGAAGTCATCCGCATACAATAGGTACATACCTAACCCTGAAAAAGAAATAAGAATGACTTTCCATGACATGTCTAAATAATGTTTGTACTTAAATAAACTGTTATATGTATTTCGAGAAATCGCTTCTAATAATTTTTGCCCTCTTTTACAGGCCTAACCTCACGTCAGTTTCAGCACACCTCAACTGACTTTGCTATTATTAATACTGCTTCTTTTATTATCATTGCCTTACGTCCTCGTAATGTGCCGTACACAAATAGAAGGCTTGGCCTGTAATTGTGGGAGGTACATTATTCCCTATATAAAGCGCAGTAAGTCCAGCTTACCTGTCATCGACGTTACCGGAAGTGCCCCTCCCATCGCACCCTCAATTCATTAACATTTCTCCTAGGGGGGCCCTCTTTTACAGGCCTAACCTCACGTCAGTTTCAGCACACCTCAGCTGACTTTGCTATTACTAATACTGCTTCTTTTATTATCATTGCCTTACGTCCTCATAATGTGCCGTACACAAATATATATATATATATGTATATACACACGTACACATACATGGTATATTAAATTATATCATAAGAGAAGACTCAACCAAGTGTTGGAGACATTACATATTACCATCCACACCATAACAGAAACAATTGTAGGCATTATCAGTTGGATTATGCAGCAACCAATGGTGAGTTGCACTCACATTGCAGCCAATGAGTAGTAAGTTACATTAGATTGAAGCATTGTCTGATCGAAAAAGCCTCTTATTGAGACTAAATGTGACTGGGAGACATTTCTAGCTCTCCTTTGATCTATACTTCTATATATTATATTGTCGACTTGTGCACGGTTGAAAAATTAGTTTTGCTGAATCGAATCATACGAAAGAAGTAAATTAAAAAAATTAAGTTTGGGTAATTCAGCTCAGAAGATATTTGTACATGCAAATAAATGTAAAAAAATACTCAGACTAACCAATAATGGCTTGAAAATGGGCCTGTCAGGGTACTGTAAAATTTTAAACAGAGATGCTCATAAAGTGGCCCTAAGTGTGACAGCCCCTGCAGCTTGTGGGCCCCAGTGTGACAGCACTGCTGTAATCTGACTCAGCTGTAGATATTCCTGTACACGTTTTAAAATTTTCAGCAACTATGGTTTTGTGCCTTTTTTAAAGCTATTGCTGTGTGTTTTGTGCATTTTACAGACTGCAATGTAAGGCAGTTTTTATATCATCACCACAATAAAGGTGTCTTTAAGACGTCCATGTTAACATGTAGCTTCAAAGCACAAAGCAATGTTTGGTTTTAGAGATAAAATCATATGTACAAGTTACAACATGAAATATAATTGGAACGTATGAGTTAATATTGTCTCTAATCAAAGAAAGCATTATAGAATGTTCTACGTACAACACAGCTGGCATAGCCGATTCCTCCAAGTCGAGGGCATATATAATTCCACACTCCAATACTACCTCGGCGAATTCTTTGCCCCACAGCCAACTCAAGGAAGAACAGAGGGATGCCAATTAAAATGAGTAAAATCAGGTAGGGGATCATATAGGCACCTGTGAATACAAAATAAATAAATTAACTTATTTAGATACAAATATAATAAGATGGGATGACTAGGTTTAGCACTGCCCACCTATACACCATAAACATAATTTATCAAATATCTCTATGCTTTAAATGGAGTGGATTCAAATTGTTGTCAAATAAACTGCAAGGCAAATTTGATTCAGTAAAAAAGGCAGATCACTCTTAAAGGAATACATCAGCGTTAGGATTACAAATGTGTATTCCTAATGCTATAGTGGCCTGGTAGTTGTTTAGGTACCAGGCCCCACCAGTAGGGGGTAAAAAAGGGTCTTCCACTTACCATTTCCCTCACAGCACCAGTGTACACACTGCCACCCTGCCTTCTTGGCTGAGATAATCAACATTAATAATCGCAGCCCAGAGGCACCTGGTACCCCCTATTTATTCTTTATGAAGTTCATTATGACTGGTGATAAAAAGGTCACCATTAGTAGACTAACCCGCCTACTGTGCTCTCATTGGTAGTTTACACCTGGGGGTGGAGTTGTCAGAACTTTACTTTCCCTGGTGCAGTTGGATCTTATGTTGCTGGCTCCCTCCTGCTCTCCCTCTCCATTCCAGCAGCTCCCACAGCTACCTCTTTCCCCTCAGAGCACTAGCAACTTGGGCACTTAGACTCATTGGCGGATCCGGGGGGGGCAATATGGCAGTTGCCCCCCCCCCCACCCGAGAAAATAGTGAGGCCGAGGCTCTCCAGTGACGGCCCATTAAGGCTGGCGCTATCCAAGCACCAGCCCTGCTGTTTGCCTTCACGGACCGGAGATCAGGCACATTGCTGGACGGCCGGCAGGGGAGGGAGAGGGAGAGAGGACCTGGGGGAGCTCTTACCTGCAGCTCCGCCGGGCTCTCCTCTCGCAATCACGGAGCGTTGCCGCGGTTACCATGGCAACGCTCCGTTTTCGCGAGAGTGAACTCTACCCTGAGCTGCAGGTTAGCGTTCACTCCCCCACTAGAGCCACCAGGCACCGGAAAGAAAGTAATGTCTATATCTATTTAATTATTTAAAAAAACTAAAACAAATATCTTTAATCTGCCCCCCTCTTCCCTCACACACTGCACCACACACAGCCCCCCCTTACACACACAGCCCCCTATCCCCTCACACAAACTATAACCCCCTACACACTGCACCACACACAAATATACAGCCCCCCTTACACACACAGCCCCTTACACACACACATACACAGCTCCCTATCCCATCACACAAACTATAACACACACAAATACAGTCCCCGCTTACACATACACAGCCCCTCCTTACACACACAGCCCCCACACAAATAGCCCTCCTTACACACACAGCCCCTCTATCCCCTCACAAACTATAACCCCCTACACACTGCACCACACACAAATATACAGTCCCCCTTACACACACAGCCCCCCCTTCACTGCCCCCCACACACAGCCCCCCCCCACACAGCCCCCCGTACACACACTGCCCCCCAATACACACACTGCCCTCTTATACACACACTGCCCTCCCTTAAACACATAGCCCCAATACACACAGCGCCACTCACACACAAAAACACTGCACCCTTTACACACAAACACAGGGAAAGTCACCCTCCTGAAAAAGGTAGGAAACACCTTTTCTGTCTGTGTGTATGTGTGTGTCTCTGTATGTATGTGTGTCTGTATGTGTGTGTGTGTGTGTGTGTCTGTATGTATGTGTCTGTATGTGTGTATGTCTCTGTATGTCATACAGACACATACATTCAGAGACACACACACACACAGACACATACATACAGACAGACACACACAGACATACATACAGATACGCACACATACACACACAGATACAGACACATACATACGGATTGTATGTGTATGTATGTGTCTGTGTGTATGTGTGTGTGTCTGTCTGTGTGTATGTGCGTGTCTGTATGTATGTGTGTCTGTATGTGTCTGTGTCTGTCGGGGGGTGTATGTGTGTCTGTATGTATCTGTCTGTTTGTATGTGTATGTCTGTCTGTGTGTATGTGTCTCTGTATGTATGTGTGTGTGTTGGTATGTATGTGTCTAGGGGGAGGGCCCTCGGGGGGAGGGACGGCACGGATCGGGGAGGGGGGCCTACGGATCAGTTTTGCACCGGGGTCCCATGGATTGTGTGTACGCCACTGCCCCTGGCTCCTTAACTACAAACTAACCACAAACTTAAGTGCTCTCTCTGTGTGGCCGCCGGTTATATAACCGAACAACATGTGCTCTGGAAAACGGTGGCCATCTCGTCTCTCGAATGCAGGCAGCGGCACTCATGTTCGTGGGATCTGAGCGCTATTAGGAGACTTTGGGCACTCAGACCCAGGCCAAAATAGTAAAAAACTAAAAGATAGCATTTAGTAATTATAAAAAAAAAACAGAGTGAGGAAGACAGAATGATCTATAAGATTAGGCAGAAAGAGGCTAAGCAAGTTATAAGAGCTTCCAAATCACACACACAAGAGAAAATAGCACAGTCAGTAAAAAAGGGGGAAAAAACTTTTTTTAGATACATAAATGAGAAAAGAAAAGTAAAACAAGGATTAGTTAGATTAAAAACAAAAGAAGGAAGGTATGTAGAAGAGGATAAAGGTCTAGCTAACTGCCTCAATGAATATTTTTGTTCTCTATTTACAGATGAAAATGAAGGAAAGGGACCTCAGTTGAGAAAAAGGATAAATTAGTCATTTATTACATGTGAGTTTACAGAGGAAGAGGTTCTATTTCAACTGTCAAAAGTAAAGACAAATAAGTCAATGGGACCTGATGGAATACACCCAAAGCTATTAAAAGAGCTTAGTGGTGTACTAGCAAAAACATTAACAGATTTATTTAACCAATCATTGTTAACAGGAGTAGTCCCAGAAGATGGAAGTTAGCGAATGTTCTGCCCTTTCTCAAGAAAGCTAATAGGGAGGAGTCGGGCATCTGTAGGTCAGTAAGCCTTACTTCAGTAGTGGGGAAAGTGATGGAAACCATGTTAAAGGATAGGATTGTTGAACATCTAAAAACACATGGATTTCAAGATCAGAGACAACATGGGTTTACTTCAGAGAGAACATGCCAAACTAATCTTATTGATTTTTTTGATTGACTAAAATTATAGATCAGGGTGGTGCAGTAGACATTGCTTACCTATATTTCAGTAAGGCTTTTGACACTGTTGCACATAGAAGGCTTATCAATAAACTGCAATCTTTAAGTTTGGATTCCAATATTGTTGAATGGGTAAGGCAGTGGCTGAGTGACAGGCAACAGAGGGTTGTAGTCAATGGAGTATATTTGAAGCTTGGGCTTGTCACCAGTGGGGTACCTCAGGGATCTGTACTTGGACCCATTCTCTTTAATATTTTTATTAGTGATATTGCAGAAGGTCTTGATGGTAAGGTATGTCTTTTTGCTGATGATACTAAGATATGTAACAGGGTTGATGTTCCAGGAGGGATAAGCCAAATGGCAAATGATTTAGGTAAACTAGAAAAATGGTCAGAGTTGTGGCAACTGACATTTAAACTGGGCTACTAAACTGGTTCATGGATTGCAGGATAAAACTTACCAGGAAAGGTTAAAGGATTTTAACATGTATAGCTTGGAGGAAAGACGAGACAGGGGGGATATGATAGAAATATTTAAATACATAAAGGGAATCAACACAGTAAAGGAGGAGATTATATTTAAAAGAAGAAAAACTACCACAACAAGAGGACATAGTCTTAAATTAGAGGGACAAAGGTTTAAAAATAATATCAGGAAGTATTACTTTACTGAGAGGGTAGTGGATGCATGGAATAGCCTTCCAGCTCAAGTGGTAGAGGTTAACACAGTTAAGGAGTTTAAGCATGCGTGGGATAGGCATAAGGCTATCCTAACTATAAGATAAGGACAGGGACTAATGAAAGTATTAAGAAAATTGGGCAGACTAGATGGGCCGAATGGTTCTTATCTGCCGTCACAGTCTATGTTTCTATCCAGAGATATAATACTTGTGGGGGTTCCTATAAATGTTATGGGTATTTTGGGGTGTTTTAGTATAATAAATTGTACCTCTAGTGTCTGGGAGATCATTAGTTTAACCCCTTAAGGACGGAGCCAAATGTACACGTTGTGAACAAAACAAAATGTAAACAAAACCTAGCATTTGCGCTACGTCTGTCCAACTGTAATTCACCTCTTTCATAGTAAATGCACCCACCCTTATTATATATCATTTTATTCAGGGGAAACAGGGCTTTCATTTAATATCAAATATTTAGCTATGAAACATAATTTAATATGAAAAAAATGGGAGAAAATAGGATTTTTAAAAAAATTTTAGTTCTACATGACATTTTAACAGTCAATGTCATAATACTGTTTGCTTTTACTGCAATGAAATACACATATTTGTATTCAGCAAAGTCTCACGTGTAAGACAGTACCCCCTATGTACAGGTTTTATGACGTTTTGGGAAGTTACAGGGTCAAATATAGCACGTTACATTTGAAATTGAAATTCGCCAGATTAGTTACGTTGTCTTTGAGACTGTATAGTAGCCCAGGAATGAAATTTACACCCATAATGGCATACCATTTGCAATAGTAGACAACCCAAGGTATTGCAAATGGGGTATGTCCAGTCTTTTTTAATAGCCATTTGGTCACAAACACTGGCCAAAGTTAGCGTTAGTATTTGTTTGTGTGTGAAAAATGCAAAAACGCCAATTTTGGCCAGTGTTTGTGACTAAGTGGCTACTAAAAAAGACTGGACATACCCTGTTTGCAATACCTTGGGTTGTCTACTATTGCAAATGGTATGCCATCATAGGGGTAATTTTCATTCTTGGGCTACCATAGGGTCTCAAAGGCAACCTAACCAATCTGGCGAATTTTAATGTGAAAAAAATGAAACACAAGCCTTATATTTGATGCTGTAACTTTTGAAAACACCATAAAACCTGTACATGAGGGGTACTGTTGTACTCGGGAGACTTCGCTGAACACAAATATTTGTGTTTCAAAACAGTAAAAAGTATCGCACCAATAATATCGTCCGTGTAAGTGCTGTTTGTGCAAATTAAATTCCCTTTACTTTCCGCATGGGTTGTCAGGCAGGTCCCGCTAATTGTAATTAATTAAGATACCTAATTATGTAAAAATATTACATAAATATATATGTAGAATTAATATATGTATATATATACGTATGTGTATATATATGTATATATCTATATAATTTTTTTTAAAATATTTTTATTTATATATAGGTATATATATTGTGATATATACGTATATATTTATGTATATAGATATATATATATTATTTCGTTCTACGTGTGTTTTAAAATATATATCTATATATATATATATATATATATATATATATATATATTAATTTCACAATACAGTTCGAACAAAATAACACACATCTATATATTTTTTAATTATTTATTTTTAATAATTTTTTTAATTTTATTTTTTAACGTATTTACATATTTTTGTTTATATTATATATAAATATATATATAACAATAATTATATATATATTTAATCAGTATCAGTCTACGTGTAATTTGATATTAATATATATATATATAATTATATATATATATTAATAGTAAAATACACCTAGACAGTGTACATGTGTGTATGTATATGTGTGTGTATATATATATATATATATATATATACTTAGATCATATATATATAATATATATATATGATCTAAGTATATAATTTATTTATTTTTTACCCTTTTTTTTACACTTTTAATTTTATTTCATTTGATTTCCAGCCAGCAGGGGGACCACCTGTCATTACAGGCAGCCCCCCTGCTGGCAATGCTGCAGCCAGCTATCCCGGCCATGTGATTGTGAGGTCCTCGCAAGGTTATTGTTAATAAATAGTCTGTGCAAACTATGCTCTGGGCTCATACCTTTTGAACACAAGTTCAGTGTGAGACCCGATCGGTGTGTGTAAATAAAAGACCTGTTACTTCCTGAAGTCTTGTGTCCATATCTCTATGTGTGGCTTCTGTGGTTTGTTCCTGTTATTCCTCCGGTAACAGGGGGACAGGTCCACAGGGCCCAAGCAAATGCTTTGCCCAGGTTCCAGTCAATATTAACGATGGCCCTGCCTGTGGGTCTGCTGAAAAAAAATATCTAGAAGGTTAAAAGTGTCACCTCAGATGCATTTGAATCATCAAACATCTGGGATGCCAGGGCTAATCTAGCTATAAACAATACTATCATTCTCAATAAGCATTATCACTATGAAACTGCGATGGGCAGCCACTTACCTCCTCCATTTTTCTGGCACAAGTATGGAAACCTCCAAACATTGCCCAGGCCCACTGAGTATCCGATTTGTGCGAGAATATACTGTAATTTGTTGTTCCAGGCTGGCCGGTCATCTTGATCTCCTAGGTCTTCTAGCTGTTTTCCTCTGCATTCTTCCGCTGACACATTTAAAGCACTTGCCTTGAGATCTACAGGATCTTCATGGGCCAATAAGTCAGCCACGGATTCTGTAACATGCTGGTTGCTGTGCTCTCGCTGAGTTACTTTACTATTTTTAGGCATTTGGAGATGAGTGTGCTTTCTCACGTTGTACGGATATGGCCAGACTTTAGAATACTCAACAATAGATTCAAAGGACCAAAATCTGGAAAAAAAAAGTTATAAACTTAAAAGATTATGAACCACTCACAAAACCATTTTTAAGGAAAAATGTTGATTATATATGATTTCTAATATTATATTACTATAGATCAGATCTGCGTTTGTGAGGTGCAAAAAATAAAATTAAAG